TATTATTTTATCTAAAATTAATTATAAATATATTAAATACTTTCTTTATATAATATTAAATTTTTATAGTTTGATAAATACAAAAACATTTATATGGTGATTATTAATATAAAACAATAATTGATTTATAAATATATAATAGAATCTAATATATTTTTATATAAAGAATTTTCATTATAAATAAAAAATTTTAATAAAGATTTATCCTAATAGTTTTAAATTAATAAAAATTAATTATATATTATAATAAAACTATTTATATATAAATATAATAAATAAAATATATAATTTTAAAATATTAATATATATATATATATATATATATATTTTATTTTAAATATTAATTATTTATTTTTGTATAATATAGTTTTTAATTAATTATTATTGCAAATTTAAAGACTTTTTTTAAATAAATTTTTTAAATAACAATTCTTATAATAAGAGTTAAGGGTTTTTTGTATATATTTTTTTTTAAAATTACAATATTAATCATTATAATAAAATATACAATAACTTATATTATAAAAACAATATTTTTATAATCAATATTATATTCAGTTTTTATTTATCAATAATATTTACAAAACGATAATTTTATAATTATATAAATGCAAGAAAACATAAGTAAATGTGATTTAATTAAAAATTGGTATAGAGTAAATAAACCTTTTCTATTTAGTTAATTTATTTTTTCCCTAATCGGATTCACATAAGGAATAGGATAACTTCCTTCTTTAGCAATAAACTATACTTACAAAGATGATTTTAAACTTCAACCTGCAGAATTATCTTTAGTAGAAAGTATTGGGCATATACCATGGACAATAAAACCAATATACGGAATGATAACCGATACATATAAATTTATAGGATACAAAAGGAAATCATATTTAATATTTTTTTCATTATTATGTTTTGTTTCTTGGTTATCTATTTCTTTGTTTGTAAAAAACATTTTTGCTTTTGTATTTATTTAATTTATTATAAATATTGGATTTGCATTTTGCAATGTAATAGGAGAAGCATTATTAGTTGAAATGTCTTAACAAAAAATAAAAAATATTTAAATTTAAGACGAAAGATATTAATAAAAGTAAGCAGCATAGAATGTATCTTTATTTTTTTTTGCAAGAAGTATAGGAGTATATTTTTTTTATTATTTATATATAATCAATTAAACTTTTTTTTAAAAAATAAATTAATTATAAAAGATTATGATAACAGCTTATTTGAGTGGTTATTTACTTGAAATATATTCTAAATAAACTATTTATTTGATAACGAGTATATTTCCTTTAATATTATGCATTTTTTCGTTTTTTATGAATGACAGTGTTGATTAAAATGATTAAAATATTTAAAATCCTTCTTTATATGAATAAATATGTACTTTTTTATCATTTTTGAGACTTCCAATAATATATCGTCCTATAATATTCATATTAATATATACAATGTCTCCAAGTACCGGTTCAGCATGGTTTTATTTTTAAACTAATGTTTTGGGATTTACACCTGAATTTTTAGGACAATTAAAATTAATATTAGCTATAGGATTATGTCTATCATTTGTGATATACTATACATTATTGAAGCATGTTTAATTTAAAAAATAATTCATTATTACATGCCTCATATCTGTATTTTTGGGATTTCTTTCTTTAATTCTTATTACTCGTAAAAATCTTGAATATGGAATTCCTGATAAGGTTTTTAGTATTTGCGACAACTTTATTTCTATGATTATTGCTGAATTAAACCTTTTGCCTATTCTCGTTCTTGCTTGTAGAATGTGCCCTAAAAATATAGAAGCTACTATGTATGCTATGCTTACAAGTACTATTAATTTGGGGTCGTTTGTTTCTGGTTTATTGGGAAGTCTTCTCATTTATCTTTTAGGCATTACAGATACCGTCTTTGATAATTTTTGGTTATTAGTTGTTATTACTAGTTCAATTTAGGCCTTACCTTTGCTATTGATTAAATTAATTGATTCTGAATAAAATAATTAGTATTAGTAAGAAAAGAAAAAAAATGATGACGATGAATAATATAGATTATTAGATTGATTGAATCTTCGAAAAATTGCAAAAAAATATAAAAGAAAAATTATTTAATTTTTTTAAATATATAAAAAAACTTTAAAATAAATATATTTCTTTTAAAGAAAATAATAATAAAAACTTTCACTCTTCATAAGTATTTTCAATAATTTTAGTTGATCCATCACTCAATGTGTATGTTTTAGTTTCTGTAATAGTTTTGATTCCATTAATAATATTAATTTTTTTCTAAGTACTAGTCCTAATTGTGCCTGCAGGTCTATCAGGATCATAAACTTCTTTTCCGTAACTGGCACCAGTAATATCAGATTGGTTAATTCCCAATTTTTATAAATGAGCTTATATTTCAGGATCATTAATTGAGACATTTTAAGTAGTACTACTTGAGACATTTTAAGTAGTACTACTTTAGACATTTTATCCAGGATATTAAGAATAAGTTGTTACATTAACATTTTTATTTTTTTTAATTTAGTCATCTTCTCCTCCATATTATTGCTAATATCCTCCGTATTAAGGTTATTAAGAATAAGAATTATTATATGTAGTTTAATAAGATGATTATTATTATTATTATTATCCATATTATGGTTATTATTATTATTATCCATATTATTATTATATATATGATTATCCGTATTATTATTATCCATATTATTATTATTATCCATATTATTATTATTATTATTATTATTGACCTTTAGGAGTATAATATTGAGCGTAATTGATAACTGTAACTGTTTTATAAGCAGTATGTAGAGCACATCCGACACCAATTTTTTTAAAATCTTCAGACATAATATTCTTTCTATGCCCTCTATTAGCAACTCCATCATCAATTAGTAATGAAGATACGATTTCTAATGCTGATTTACTTCCAAATTCTATATTTTCACCTATTTTTCCTGACCAATCTCCATATCTTTCAAGTCTTATACTCATATTCGATCCATCTGAACCATTATTTCCACATACTCCTTTTGGGCCAATGTCATTTGCATGATCTTAACAAGCTCTTGCAATATTCTCATTCCATTCATATCCTTATAAAGGCTTTTGTTATTAAAGGAACGCCATACATTCTTAAACAGCTGCTACTCCTTCATTAGTTCTTAAAGGAACATCCCCAGGTCTATGAAGAATATTTCCTTAGAATTAACTAATCATTTCTTGTAAATAATGAATATAACTTTAAGGACTTTATCTAGCTCTATTGATTTCTAAAAACACTTCTTGAGCCAAACTTTTCCAATCAGTATTAGCTCCAGAAGCTACAGTAGAATTTTAAGCAAATTATTATTATTACTATTGCTATTACTAATATTAATACTATTATTATAATGGTTAATATTACTATTAGGAAACTGAACTTGTAACATTATAATTAGTGGTTGTAGTTGGATTATAAGATGAAGAATTAATTCCTACTTTCACACCTGTATTGTAGGTACAAGCTTAGGAAGAGGTCAAACCTGTATTAGCCTGTTTGCCTGCTCTTTTTATTTAATCATATGAATTCTCAATTGGTAATTCTCCACCTTTCCTTGTATATTCGGATGCATAATCGATAACTGTGCACATTTTATAATCTCTATGTGGAGCGCAAGCTACACCTATTTTCTAATATTGTCCACTTAATAAATTGTTTCTATGACCTCTATTTGGTAATCCATCATCTACTAATAATTAAAGAACTATGTCTACTGCATTTTCTCTTCCAAAGCATAAAGCTTCTGCTATTTTTCCTATCCAATCTCCATATTTTTCCAATCTCTAAGTAAATGTTGAACCATCAGATCCGGTTCCGTCTGTTATTCCTTTAGGACCGATATCTTAAGCATGATCATTACATGCGCGAGACATATTGTCATCCCAATTTAAAGGGGCAACTGGTTTTTAGTTTGATAAATAGTTTATACATTATTCTACAGCTTCTGGTCCTTCTTCTGTTTATAGACCTAATTCACCAGGTTTATATAATACATTACCTTTAAACCATGTTAGCATTTATTCTAAGTGATATATATAGGATTAAGGGTTAGTTCGAACTTTGTTTATTTCATCGAATACATCTCTTGATATCCAATTATAGTTTTTTGTTGTCATTTTTTTTTATTTTATTTTTTTAGAATTAATTACGATTTTTTATTTAAATTATTATATTATATATATTTTTTTATTTTAATTATAATAAAGAAAGAAAGAAAAAGCTTTTGTTTTATTTATATAAAAATAAAATATTATTTTATTTAATAAAAATTTTATTTTATCATTATTTAGATTAACTATTAAAAATAATTTGATTTTTCTTTTAAGATTAAATAATATTTAGTATAATGAAATTTATAAAAAATAATTATTTTAAATACAGTTTTTCTCATATAAAAGAATTATATTACATAAATAAGTTAATTTATTATTTAAAATAAATTCCTACTAAAAAATCTATATTTTTTTTGTCTAAAAAATGAGGCTTTAAATACTTATTTTACAGAATTATTGAGTATTTCAGGATTATTTATAACATTTAAAATTTTATATTAAAAATAATCAAAAGATTTTTTATTTAATTAATTTAACTTTTTAAATAATAAAAAAATAAAATTATTAGAATAAATGTTAAAAAGTATACTAATAAATAAAATATAAATAACATATTATATAGAATCTTAAAATTAAATATTAATTTTTTCATTTTTAAAATAAAAAAATATATAAAATATCTTTTTTTAAATTTATTATAAATCACAAAAATAAAATAAAGTAAATTATACATAATAAAAAAAAAGTTATATAAATAAAAATATTATTATTTATATATAATTCAATAATAATAATAATATTTTATAAATTTTTTGTTTAAACAAATATAATAATAATAAGAAATTAAAAATTTAAAGAAAAAATGTAATAAAAAAATAAAGGTGGTTAAAAATATGCATTTGAAATATCTATAAAAAAAATAAATATAAACTTTAATCCTTAAAAAGAATTTATATAAGTAATTCTTAAAAGAGGTAATACAAACTATATTAATTAATTAATAATTAAAATAATATTTTAAAAAAGGAGATTGTAAATAAGAATCTAAAAGAAAAACAGAATTTAACGTGTAAAATTAAGAATTTGAAATAAATGAATCATTTTTTTTTAACTCCAAATTGCATTATAATATGTAAAAAAATCGCTTTGATGACAAGTTTGTATATTTTTTTTGTTAAAAAATAAAAAAAACTTTACAATTTATATATAATATATAAAAATAAATTATTTATTTTTTAAAATAAATATAAGGTCGAATTAATAATTCTAATGTTTAATAATAATGAAGGAATGCATATTTTAGGAAAATCAAGAATATGCTTAAGTAAGTTTGTAAATAACCCTACAATAATAAATGAATAAATTTAAGTAAATTTTTAGAATTAGATTGATTAAAACTCATTAATTAATTATTTTGTTTAATTTGAAAAAATTGAAATGAAAAAACAACCTTTGTTGAAAAAAACTAATATAATAACAATTAATAAAGATAAAAAAGATAAAAGACCTCTTGTTAAAAAGCCAATATAAAAAAAAAATGAATAAAGCTTTCAAGAATAAGATAATAATGAATGCAATATAAGCAATTCAAGTATTAAAATAAAATCAGTTGTAAATCGTGTAAAAAGCAAAGGAAATTCAATTGAAAGGAATGGATTTTCAAAAGATAAAAAATCTTTTTAATAATTTTCAAACAAATCTTCCAAAAATTACTTTCTTCAGAAATAAAAGATATTAAACAAAGTAAAAATTTTTCATCTTCGAAAGAAAAAAAATGTCTTTCAACTGATAGACGATCTTTTTTATCTAAAAAGAAAAACACAAACAATAAAAAAATGATTCTAATAGAAAATATTCTACCTTATGATGTAATAAATAATACAGAAGATAAAAAAAAAGAAGGTTTAAATTAATTAGAAGAATTTAATAAAATCTAAATATAAGAAATATAAATGTTGAGTTTTTAAATTGAGGAGTTGAAAAAAGAATAACAAAATGAAATTCCTATAGAAAACATAACTTAAAATACTAGATTTACTTTTAATAATATTAAAACTTTAGAAAATGTTTTCATTTATTTTATTATTTTTCATTATTTAAAAAAATAAAAATAATAGAATGATAAACAAATAAATAATCAAGAATAATAAAATATTTAATAAGAATAATTAAAAAATATTTAAGGTGAGGAGGAATTTAGAACTATTAAGTAGTAAGATGGTGTTTAAAAAGCAAATAAGAATTATGTAACTAAAAAAAAAAAACTATAAAATATTTATATAAATGTCTAGAATGAAGTGTAAAATGGAAATATGTTAAGCATAAATTAGCTTTAACATTAAGTATTATTTATAAAAGCAAAATAAAAAATATACAATTGTTTTTTTTTATTTTATTTTATTTTTTTAAAAAAAGGTTTAATTAAAAAATAATATAATATAAAACTTACTTGATAAAGTTAATATTCTTGAGTAAAATACTTTATAAATGAATGAAAAAATAATAAATTTGGAAAGTTAAAACTAATTGTTAACAGTAAAGTCGAATTAAATAGAAAAGCATTATAATTTATAGGAATAAAATAAAGAAGATGAAAATACTATAAAATAATAATAATAATAAATATAATTATAATTATAACAATAATAAAATATTAGTTAATAAAAAGAAGAAAGTTTAAAAAAATAAATAAGTAATTTACTTGATTAAATTAACTTAATGAAAAAAGAATTAGATATAAAAAATTAATAATTATAAAACTCAAATGAATTAGAGTTCGATAAATTAAAATAAGAAAATAACTTTTTATAATAACAAAATCTTAATTTTATGGAATAAATTTAAAGATTTTAAATTGAAATTATGCATAAATTATCTTTAGATCATGGAAGCGAGAATGAAGATTTAAAGAAAGAGATTATAAATATTAAAGGAAAACTTTAAGAATAATATGTATTATTATATTTATATATTTTAATCATTTTTATTTATTTATAAAGTTAGACTTTTCAATAGACACTTTAATCAAACCAAGAAAGATTGTAAAATCTATGCTCTTTTTATCAATAAAAGTCTGAAATGTATGAGAACAAAAGTAAAGAACTAGAATAATAAATATTACTTTCTAAGTAAGATTTAGCAGAATCATTAAATGTTGCCTTTGAATTTGGGGGTAAATAACTTGCAGATGAAATAGAAAAACGTTTAATTTTTAAGGTTTGAAAAAAAATAACATATATATATTTAAAAGTCCTTTTAATTTTATAAATTAATAATTATAAATAACCCTTATAATTTATAAAATGTAATTTTTTTATCTAATTTTTTATATATTATATTAAATAATAAGAAAATTAAAAATTAATTATTTATAAATAAATTTTATAATTAAATGTATATTAAAAATATTTATTTTAATAATAAATATATGATTTTATATTTATAACAATTTATATAAATAAAATAATATAATTTTGAATAAAATAATTAATTATTATAATAATTTATTAATTTACTTATAATTATTCAGTCATAATATTTTTAAATATAATATAAAATTTGTAAATATGTATATATTTATAATTTATTTTTTTTAGTAGTTTTTTTATTTACTCGTTAATTTTATCCAAACATTTTTTTTTAGCTTTTTTATTATATATTGAAAACCATTTATAAAACAATTTTTTTTTCTTTTTTTTTCTTTTAAATATTTTATTCATTCTATATATGATATGAACAATCTTAATTTATAATCAAATAAATAAATAAACTACTTTTTGAACATAAGTAAAAGACTATAAACTAAAACTAGTACAAATCATTTTTATAATTATAGGATAATTTTCAGCTGTAACACAATCATACCAAAAAATAAGGAGATATAATAATCTCTTGCAATCATATAAAATCCTTAATAAAATATTTAAATTAAAAATAACGAATAGACATAATATCAAAATAAATAATTTAATTTACTTATATATAAGATTTCTTAAAACTCATAATGTATTCAATATGATTCTTAAATCAATAGAAATTTAGAAAATTTTGAAAATAAAAACAGACATATAAAAATATTAAAAAAACAAAAACTAATGAGTAATATGCAATAGACATAAATAAGGTTGCAACAGTCTATTAATATACATATCTAGTAATACCAAAGAAAGTCATCGAATAATCAAAAAAAAAACATTCTATCTATTAAACCATATTAAAAAGATATAAATGTGTCATGTACAAAATAAGTATAAGAAATTAAAATTATTTCAATTTAATAATTATCATTTACTTTAATAAATAAAATCACCTTATATAAAACTTATTTTATAGTAAATTTAAAGTACTTAATCCATTTGAAATTGAATAATCCTATTTTTTGTATTTTCTTATTAGTTTTTAGTAATTTTTTTTGGTAATTAAACAATTTAATTTAGATTATAAAACAAAAGTATCAAAATACACCAAAAAAAGTGTTTATCTAATTTAAATTAATAAATAAAAGGTCATTATTCCTTTTTTTTAATTTATAAAGTTTTTTTATTTAGTTGATAATTTAATTTTTTAATTAATATTATATTAAATGTAAATACTATAAATAATTTATTACTAATTTTTTTTAATAAGACTTTATGCTTTTTTTATTATTATTTTTTAAATACTAATAAGCTAAGCATTTTATGCTAAATATTATTATATTAATATATATTTTAATATTTCAAAAAAATGATTAAGTCTTAAATTTATATTCTATCTAAAAAGTAATTAATATTAACAACAGAATATCCAATATTAAATAATGAAATACTAGATTAATTTGTATATTTTTTTTGCTTTTTAAATAAATTAAATAAATTAAATATCAAAAATTTTAATTAGGAAAATCTTTTAATGAAATAATTTTAGAACAGTGATTAGTTGTATGTATTTGATGTAAACTAGAAAAATAAAATAATAAAGAACTAAACAGTATAATTTTTTAAATAAAATATATTAATTTATATAATTAATAGTTAAAAAAATATCTAAAAATAATGGATTTACCATAATTAATAACAAATATCTTAATGATTCCATTATATAATATTAATAAAAATAATTTAATTGATAAAGTAACTCTTTTTAAGAAAAAAAAAATATAAATAAAGTTAACAATAAAAAGATTGATTTATTTTTAAAAGAAAACTAAATATAAATAAAATAAGCATATTATATAAAATAAATTATATTATAATTAATAAACAAAAATTATAAACTTCTTTATTTTGATGATTCTGTAAATTTATAAATTTTATTTATGATTTTTCTTTTATATTTTTAATTAAAAAGTACTTTTTAAAAAAATAAACAATAATATTAGCTCTCAAATTTTTACTTAAAAACGACCAAAATTTTTTAATAATATCAGATTAAATCAATGTATTTTTTTTATATACAAAATATTAAAAATATATTAGATAAATACATGGAAATACTAATTATAAAATTTTTTTATCTCAATTTAAGTAATAAATGATGGAAATGACTTAGCAAATGGTAAAAGCAAAGTTTTACTTCTAAACAAATAATTTATTGAAAATCATCTAGAATTTTTGGTTTATGCAAAATTTAAATTAATGATAGTTGATATAGATGAAATAAAAGAAAATTTATAATAAAATATAATTAAATTAAGGGAAAATATTAAAAATATAATAATAATAAATGATTACTAGAAAATAAAAAAAGTTAATGATTATTTTTAATATTTGAATTTTCTTTATCCATAAATAATGGAGAAACAAGAATAAAACTTCAATCAAAGATATTCTTTTTATAAAAGAAATTAAAGTTACTACGAATTATAATTTTTGTTGAAATATTACTTTATTTCAGATTATTCTAGAAATGATAATATATGTTAAAATAACATATAAATACATTAATTAATACTTTAAATTCCTGAAAAGGAAAGAAAAGTTTTTTAAAAATTATTAAAGTTTGTCAGCTATTAAAAAATTGTAAACTAATTATAATAAGGTTAAATTTTAGATGAATATTAGGATTGCTTTAAAATTTTAGATGACATAAAAGAAAAAAATATGAAAGAAATTTTAAATTATTTAAGTAATTAATCAAAAAAAATTATTTGTTTAAGCGATGGTGATTAAATGATTTGTAAAAAAATTAAAAATTATCTTAATATAGAATTTAATAATATAAATAAATTAGAAGATATAAACTTAATAAACTATTATACAATTTTAATAATTAAAGTAATTCTTTAATTTATAAAAAATTTATTTTTAAAAAAATATAAAAAGTATCATTAAAACTATTAATAACTTAAAAAATATATTCATTTTATCAATCATTTTTGTAAGTCTAAAGTAGATATAATTTTTATAATCGTAGAAAAATCTATTGAAAATTATATATTTTAATATATAATTGATGATGATTCAGAATAATTTATTGAAAATTAAAAGTAAAAACATTAAAATAATATTGAGGATAATTTTATAAGTTTAAGTAAAAATTGTTTAGATATATCAGATATTAGGTAAAAAAGTAATATTAATTTATTTAAGTAATTTAATAGTAATTCAAATTAAGAAAAAGAAAATGAATAAGATTCTATTAATAAAATTTTAGAAATAATTTGATATAAAATAAATTAAAAAAAAATATATTGTATATATTATTAAAATAAAAATAAAATAAACAAATATTAAACATAAATTTTTATATTTATTTTATAAATTAAATAAATTAATAAAATAAAAAAAAAAGATATAAGTAATAAAATGTCAAATGATTCTAATGATGATGGAAAAAAAATAAAATAAAATTTATTAGATTTAGGAAATAAATAATTGAATTAAAATTAACAATTAAATGATACAAATAGGATCGCAGAAGATACAAATTAAAAAGGAATAGTTATTTTAGAAAAACTTGATCAATAAGGAAAAGTAATATAAGATACAATCGTTAAGGTATTTTTTTACTATTATATACAAATTTTAATATTATATATACATACAAAAAATAAATATAAAATAGAATAAAAATATTTCAAAAGATATTTAAAGAGCTGATAAGACAACAAGTGCTATGATGAATAGAGAATTTTATATGAAATGTTTACTTAATACGATTGCTTTTTTATTGCTTGTAGCGATTATTGTAGTTTTAGTTACTAGACTGAATAAAAAATTAAAATGATAACAAATAATATTTAGTTATATTTAACAATATATGATATATATATATATATATATATAATATTTATATTAGTATATATTAATAAAAAATCTTATATATTTTTATCAAAATTAATAATTAAAATATGAGTTGTAAAAATATCTAAAATTATGTGTGACAACTGATATTTATAATTTATTTATTAGTATCTACTTTTGTTATAATAAAATTTAATATATATAAATATGAATATTTAATTTAATTTTATTTTTAAAATTTTTATATTTATTAATTTTATGTGTATATTAATTAAATTTTTATCTATAGAATATTTTAATATATTTCGTTAAAAATACATAATTAATATTTATTAATATTTTTAAATATAATTCTATTGCAATCCAATATAATGTCCAATTTTTATCATATTTCAACTACTTTCTAATCATAAAAGAATTTACCTTGTAATTATTAACCAACGTTATGATCTAATTCAACTATATAACACGGACAAACAGATCCTTCTTATATAGATCTAGTAGCTTATTGTCCTGTCATATCAGTCCTTACCTAATAAAAATTTTAAAAATGTTAATAAAAATATAATATTTACCCATCCTGGACAACAACTAAATACTAAAATTTGTTTTTATTTAATTACATCGTAATTAGACAATAAATTTGCATAAGTATTAATACATAATTTAGACATTCCATAAGCATTTTTAGGCCATCCATTTTGAATATAAGTATTATTATCGACATTTTCTTAGAATTGTTTAGCTAATTAAAATAATCCATCTTTTGTTAAATTTTAATCTTTAAATTATTTTTTCAAATTTTCATTTTTTAAATGAATAGTTTTTCCAAGAGATGAACCAATGATTAATATTTTCCCTTTTTAGTTAATTAAAGGAATCATCTATTCAGATAGATAAACAGTTCCGTAAAAATTTGTTTAAAAAGTCTAACGAACAACTTCACCATCTAATTGATCTCCTTTAAAAGCAATTCCTGAGTTATTTAATAAGATATCTATTGTTCCATATTTTTAGCCTATTTAAATTATAAAATTATTAATGCTTTATTCATTTGAGATATCGAGTTATAAAACATCCACCATTGCCTCTGGTTAAAGTTATAATAATTACTTCCTTGCTTCATTTCCTCTTTCTAAAGATCTACAAGCCATTATTATATGATAATTTTATTTTTGAATCAAATTTTCAACTATACCATATCCAACTCCTTTATTTGATCCAGTTACTATTATTTTAATAAAATTTTGGTTCATTTATAATTATTTTTTAAATTAAAAATATAATATTTGAATTTAAAAAAATAGCTTTTAATTTAAAATTTAAAATTTATTAAATTGGAAATAATATTAATATATATTAATAATAAAATTAATAATAATTTATAAAAATATAATATTTATTATATATTATATATTAAATATATTTATATATATTAAAAATGAAAGGATAGTTATAAAAAATAACTAAAAATAAATATATAATAATATATTTAAAATTTTTAAAAATATTTTAAGTAATAAATATGCATTTATATTTATAAATAATAAAAAAAAATATAGATTTTTTTATTTTATAGATAATTATAAATAATTATATATCAATAAAAAAAAAATTATATTTTATATAAAAATATATATAAATTTAATATATCTTATTAAAAAAAAATATTATTAGTATTATTTATTTTATATATAATATTAAATATAAATAATATAAAATTTATATTAATTTTCAAATATTATTTTTATTTTTATAATTATTTATAATATATATATATATATTTTTTTTTATTGAGTTTAATATTATTTTATTATATAATAAAATATTTATTAATTATTATATCATTTTAAATATATTTATATTATTAATATATATATATATATATATTTATATATATATATATATATATTTTAAATTTTTTTTTTTTTTTTATTTATATTATTTTATATTTTTTTATATTTAAATTTTATAAATTCTCTTATAATATTTATTTTAACTTTTTTTTCTGATCATATTTTTTATTTAATTAATTTTAATTTTCTTTTATTATTTTTTTTTTGTAAAATAAATATTTTTATTATTTTATTTTAATATTTTATTTTCATTTACTAAAACTTTCTTATTTTATTTTTACTAGTTAATATATTAGTTTTAAGGAGTTTAAATGAAATATTTGATAAAAAACAATATTTAAATCATTTTAGTATGCTATTTTATATTATATATATATAATATAAAATTTTATTTAATAATTTTTTATTTAATAAAAATTATAATTTAATTTTTTTTTACGAACACATTTTTTTTATTTTAATTATGTTATAATTTTTTTTATTATATTAAATTAAAATTTGTAAATGTAATATAAATAAATATAATAAATAATAAAAAATTAAAAAATAAAATAAAATATATTATTTTAATAATAAATAATTTAAAAAAATATGCCAAATTCATATATTTTTAAAAATTTATTAATAATATAAATAATTAATATTTATCTAGTATTACAAAAAAAAAGATATATATATATAATTTAAATGATAAAATAATTAATAAGAAAAATATAAGATATAAAATACTATATAATAATTAAATAATTTATATTATAATATATTTAAAATAATAATATTAATAAATATTATAATAATAAATTGATATAATATTAATTACATAAATTTATATATAATCTTTTTTATCTTTATAAATTTTAATTCATATAATTGTTTTTTGAAACTATTAAATATAAAAGCAAGATTAATACATTTAAAAAATATATAAAAAAAAATATTTTTTATTTTTTAAAAATAATTAATTAAAAAATATATGATAAAATTAAAATTATACAAACAATATATATAAATTAATATTTTAATTTATATGTTATTTAAAATATTTATATCTATTTATTTATATAATATTTATATATTTTTTATATATTATTAATTTTTTAATTATTAATTAAAATAAATTATATTTAAAAATTTTAAATAAATATTAAATATTATTTTTTTTATATTTTATTTATAATTATTTTATATTTCTTATTATTTATATCTCTATAAATATAATATAAAATTTATTTTAATTTCTCTATATGTATTTTGTTTAAAATATTTTTTTTAAAAAAATGAAAAATATTTTTTATATATATATAATAAATTATATTATAAAAATATTTTATTAATTTATTATTATTATAATAAACATATTTTTTTTAATTTTATACTTTTTATATAAATTAAAAAATCTTCTATATTTAATTTATTATATAAATTTAATTAATTTAATGAATTAATAATTTTTAATATACAATTTAAATAATCAATTATTAAAATATAAATTAACAATAACATTATATTTATTATATTATTAAGTCTATTATTAATACTCTATTCTTAAAAAAAACACTTCAGAATTAATGTTTAATTTCAAAATTTACGGAGGCTTAAGACTATACTTATGGTATTTATTATAATTATGGTAGTGGAGGTGGTTTTGCTTAATAATGTGATTCATATACTATTTATGGAGGATTTTTAAGATGTAGTAGTAAATGTATCATATGAATTTCATAAATCATAAAAACCTATATTTGGTTGTTTTTTCAGTTTTAAATATATAATGATTGATTAATGGATTATTAGTACAGATTTTTTGTCCTTTATGATAAATGGAGATATTGCTAAATTTTTATTTAAAAATAATGCTTCTACTTACTAATTTATGTGGATTAACAAAATTTAACGAAGAATTTTAATAAGCGGATATCGAATATATTACTAATAACTAAGAACTTGAAATAGAAATAACGAGTAATTACTAAAAGATTTTGAAAATTATAAAAGATCTTTTGGAATTACGGAATTTTTTATTTATGCTTTTGAATGAATGCCTTAATGTGTTGGATGTACTAACGGTACTTCTTGTTTTAAAGGCTATTATTTTAATACAGACGATTGTTTAAATTGTATTCTAGGATGTTAAAAATGTACAGATGGAGTTTCTTGTGATTTATGTAAAAGTGGATATTTTTATTATGATTCAAAATGTATTTCTTCATGTCCAAATGGAAAATTTGCAGATTCTTCAGCAAGAACTTGCTATGATTGTAATATTAAATGTGCAACTTGTTCTAATGCGACTGATTGTGATACATGTTTTAAGAATAGGGTTCCTTAATAATATGATTATCCTTAATATTCTTATGATCCTAAGGTTTTCAATTAAGCCTGTACTATGTGTTCTACTTTTCT